TGTATTGACCAATTGCATGACCGAAAACAATCTTGTATTCAAATACACAGTTTTATTTATCGATTAATGCACCTAATTTTGCAAAAGTATTGCACGTGTTACTTGTTGTTGTATGTAATAACTTGTAATTAAACTAATAGCCGTGATAGCTCAGTGTCCGGGCGCTCGCATTTAATTTAATATACTCGACCGAACTTAGTTCGATCCACGGTGCCAGTGCACCAATGAAATTGTTAATTTTAAGTGCTGACTTGACTTATCACGTGTTCAGCGGTGAAGGAAAACATCGTGAGGACAACATATTTTCGAAATAATAACAAAAAAATATTCCAGAGATATGTGAAGTTCAATCCGCAGTAGGGTCGCGTGGTGGACCAGCAGTGGGATATTTATAGGCTGTTACTTTACTTTACTGATAGTTACTTGTTACTATATCTCATATAGAGTTACACATTCCCATAAATAGCCAAGTCAAACCGGACGCATTATATACTAAAACACGTACGTATTAATAAAAACGCCTGACGGATGAGCAGGTAACTTATAAGTCAGCCCATTACACGCTCCAACACGTACGCTCTCTCTCGGTTTTCTCCCGTGGTATGAACTATTTGCATGGCAGCCCGTTCAAAACCGATTATAATCAAGCGATTCAGATAAGAAAATAAATTCTAACCATGTTACGAGCATCAGATATCAGAGCGGCTAAATCGACGGTCTGTAGTTATATGGCAACACGAGAACAATTATTTACTAAGCATCTTGCAACTGGATCAGTGAGTTTGGTATTACTTCACTGCATGTGTTTGGTAGGAGTGAAGGAAAGTTTAATTGGGAGGCCTTTTTATTAGTTGCATCACGATAGAAAACTGGTGACATCTCCATGTCACAGTAACGATAAAGCACACAAGATTTATGTGGACACGACAATTACGAAATTAACAACACGGTCGCATTTTATTGAACTCACTGCTGGCTTTGTTAGATGGAAACACGTTTTGTTCAAATGTTCTTGTTTTAGTAAGTATTTATATTACAAGCACATTTGCCTACGAATAAGTTAGAACTACATTATTGTTAAAACTGGCAATACGGGGTAATGTACTGAGTTTTGTGAATGTTGTTACTTTTTATCATAAAATCAAATTTGCAACAATTAGTAACATGATGATATAATATTGTTTTGTGCAGTTTTAGATAGAGAGCCAAAAAATATTTTAATAACAGACTCTCAAAATTCTCTGACCCGCAAGATATTTCTTTTTTATTTGTCTCAGCAGAAATTAGATTTTTAATTTAATAGTTGGCCTCCTACAATAGTGAAATATAAATATCCCGATTACTTTGCAATTGATTTATTACATCAATAGTTCTTTGTTCTATAGTTAAAGTACTTCAATGCTAGTAAGCTACTTAGTACTCTGACAGTGAGTTGCCTACATAAGTATGAGGATATATACTTACGCCTTTGCCGACCCAATGCTCATCGATGTGACTCACCCACGAACATTTAAGGATTTGGGTTAAAGATACGCGTTGAAACTTGTTTTGAGCCCACAAAAACGCTGCATCGCCCGTTGGAAAGCAATCAAACTGATTTACATAGCGAAGTATTTATACAGACGAGACGGCGCGTGAGTCAGGAGATGTCTTCCTCTTCACTTATCTGACACTGACCTTACTGTGATGATTTGTTTTGTGTTTGGTTTATTTATTCGCCATTGTATGAGGCTTTTAAGATTATTACAACATGATATCAGCAGTGTGTCCTAAATGTCTCAAAAGGCTTATTTGTAAATGAAAAATGCTGCGTATAATTTGACAAATTTAATGTTTTAGTTTATTAATCTACAAATTTGAGTAAATATACCGTTTCGTATGTGTTCTTTTGATTTACCATAAAGTTTCTCTTATCGAATACTATGCAATGTTTATCGCGAATCATCTGCGAAAATCAATTCCTTATCATTTACGTTTACGAATATGAATTTAAACCTACTTTAATCAGAAGGTTTTTCCGTATCGAGAATGAATAACGATGTAAAAATTTTATATGAAATATGCAATTGAAGATAAGCTGAGAATTTGATATCCAATATCAAATAGAAACATTTGTTATGTCGAAAATCGCAGGCTTAAAAGTCTAGATATGTACTAAGGCCACATGCGTAAACATGTTCGAGTCTTCAATGCATCTCGGCTGTAGTTACAGAGTCTATTTTTACATCGAACACGTCAAGCCTAGTCACTGCACGGGGCCAACGACCATGGGATGCATCGGCACGGTTAATTTTTTAAAAGTCATTGCCCCTGAAGCTAATGGCCCAACATCAATTGACAATAAACATGAGCTTTTAGAAAATATCAAGCGCTGTCAGTGATAATCGTGGAAGTTTTGAACGTAGAGGCAGTCATTATGGTCAATTTAATTTTTTACTTAAGAAATTTTCTCTCAGCTCTAAGTTAGTAATGCAAAGTAACAGCCACCAAAGACTACAAAAAGTCGAGTTGATTTTCGCGATAAGTGCATGGCTTTTGTGACTCAGCTTTCAATCGTTTAGCAATATTATGCTAAAAGTAGCACCTTTGCGGCCTAAAACTACAGAAACAATTTTATATTTTGGAACGAATTAGTATTACAAAGTTGTTATTTAACAATCTTTCTTCGGGTTCATATGAAGAAAACGACATAGAAGTGTACATTTCATATCGTACATACCGAAGAGAAAGTGAACCCAAGGGATTTAACTTATGCGTCCTAATAAAGTTACATTACTGCACGTTTTGTTGATGTCTTTGCAACGCTCAAAACGTATTTATGATTAAATATAACTCGGTCAGTGAATTTTAGTATAAACATAACAGTCCAATATTAAAATAAAGTCGATTTAACTTATTTTCCTTAAAATTATGGAATGTCATGCGCATATATTACAATTTTTATTATATCTTTACTTGTCTGGTCAATTAAGAGATAAGTATATCACAATTACGTATTACCACTTGTACTATTTTAATGAGTTGATAATTAAAATCTCAATATATATATTGTAGGAACTTGATAAGTTTCGCTTGAGAACTCTATACGTGTAATAAATGTTACCGATTACGGTTACGAGGTGTACTATGGTGAACAAAGCGCGGACGTTATACGATTTTCGGCCATCCGTTTATACGTTACGTATAAGGCTTCATCGAAACTGTGGTACGGAGTGTTCGTCTGTCCCTCTCTCTCCCGTATAGTGCGTCTCTCACGTACGCGCGGACGTCATCGCAGAAACCAGCCAGCCAATTGACCGGTATACCGTCAACCTTCAGTTTTTCTTTTATTTATAACTCGCTTCGCTTGGGTAAGTTGTGCAGCGTTCGAACGGTGCAGCTGACTTGCCTGCGACGAGGTTACTAAACACATAAAGTGACGCTTTCCTACAAAATTGCAGATGTCCTAATAAGATATAATTTTTTCCAGTAGTTAGTATATTTTATTGTTTTTGAATCGAATAGCTCTACTTATTTCATTCAGATTATGAAGTGAAGAGTACTATAGTGGTGTTCATCAACGTGTTTTGTGTTTTTATGATTTTGTGATTTATAATGTTGTATGACCAATTGGCGGTGTAGACGTAGTCAATTTTTTTAAGTGAAAACTTCTGTAGGCTCTTAATGAACAATTATATTTTATGCTAAGTTATACACATAGAATCACGGGTCGAAAGTGTTCTTAGTTCCCGAGTGACAGCACACATTCTCACGTTCCGTTCGAATGGTATAAAAAGATTAAAGCGTAAATTAAGCAATAAGAAAAAAGGGGACGGCAAGGGTTCGTCACTTTAGCATAAGTTGTAAAAAAATCTCGAGGTGCATCCGTCTTCCTCGTACTCGTATTAAACTTATCTGCTGACTCTTTCTTTGTTTGCCACGCTTGCGTGGTTTCACAACATATCTGTAGTATAAAATGTCTTGGTTAGTGACTTTTAAATATGTATTATTACTTGATTATTTATTTTATAGTACATTTAATTACAACAAATATTGCTCAAAATTATAACGTATTGGTTCAAATTTTCAGAAACAAAATAGGTCTTTTTTTAATTAAAATTTACAACTAAAGTATTGTGATTAAATTATTAATACTAAAATTAATTTAAAAAGTACATTGTTAATCCATCTGACGGCAGTTTCCATGACTGCTTATTTTTTTATTTACGTATTTTATTGTCCTAAAATTACAATGCGGGGCTTGCGCCATAATGTATTTATTTTTCTTACCAGAACTCAAGTGCAGGTGTTATTTTAAAGTGTCCAATATATATAGATATATAAGTTAACTGTTTTTATGCTTAAAATGAGCACTCATAAGGAATTATTCTACTGCTCTCTAGATAAAATATTTGTTCGTACTTCGATATTTGTTATGTGCAGAAAATTACAAATAACTTTTATTTCATATTTCGTGATGGTGCCTCCAAGTTTTACATTACTTTATAGTAAAGTTCATAATATACTTGTTTTATATTTAAACTAAACAGAAAAGAATGTACATCCAAATATATATTACGTCTAAAAATTATAAATAAACAAAATTGGATATATATTTTACGTATGCTTTCAGGACCACAATAAGAATTCGTAAAAATTTTATCCAGCTTATAATTCTTGATTCACGTTCATGCTGAATTTTGTAAATATGAGTAGTTACCCAAAATCTCAATTGCTTTCACATAGAAAACTGCTGAATTCTGAATTCAAACAAGAAAGTTGAAAAAGAATATTGAAAGTAATGTAATTAACAACAAGATACGTGTTGTTCACACTCGCCGTTCTACTGGCGCGCGTAGTTCTCGACGCGTGAACGGAGCATAGCACGGTTTAATGAACGGGCAGCGATGGCGGCGGCGCGCGCCCCGAACTCCGTGCGCAGTCGGCCTCGAGCTACGGGCAGCGCGCGCGCAGCTCAACGCAACGCCGGTGAAAGGCCGCATGACTCATAGCGTCTAGACATGAACGAGTACGCCGAATACGATTGGAGGTTGCAGCAGATGCAGAACGAGCGTCTGTGCGACGTATCCAGGAAGCGGCTCACAGACGGGGACAAGCAGCGTGCGCTGGACGGCCTAAAAGAGGCCGTGGACTCCAGTCTCAACCTCGCGCTGCGCGACAAGAGCCGCTGTCAGGATGACAATTTTCTGAGGCGGTTTTTGTACGCGCGCAAACACGACGTGCAACAGAGCTTCGAGCTGCTGGTCCGCTACCACCAGTACCGGCGCGAGCATCCGGAGTTGTGGGCGTCCGCCGACGGGGGCGTCCTGCGCGCTCTGGCTGACGGGTTGCCGGGTGTGCTGACGCAACGCGACCGCCGCGGCAGATGCGTGCTCCTCATGTTCGCGTCCAACTGGACCCCGCACGCGTGCCCCCTGCTCTCCGTCTACCGGGCCCTGCTGTTGACGCTGGAACGGACGCTAACGGACGTTCAGAACCAAGCGAACGGCTACGTTATCATCGTTGACTGGACCGAGTTCACGTTCAAGCAATCGTGCAGTCTGCAGGCGAAGGTGTTGAAGCTTATGATCGACTGCCTGCAAGACTGCATGCCGGTCCGTTTCAAGAGCATACACTTTATTGGGCAGCCGTGGTACGTGGAAACTGCGCTGGCGGTCATAAAGCCCTATTTGAAAGCGAAGACAAGGGAACGAATTGTGCTGCACGGGAATAATTTGTCGACACTCCACGACGCCTTGCCCCTCGATATTCTCCCAGCCGAATTGGGTGGTGAAGGGCCCTCGTACAATTCGGAGCATTGGCTGAAGGAGTTCTGTCAATGTGAGAATATTAATGCCTCACCTGTTTCGACAATAACTGCTAATGCACAGCCAGATAATGAATTGCCGGCCGCTAAACTCGATAAAGCGTACATCCATAAAGACAACCAAAACTTTTCATTTCACGGCAACGAGAAGAGCGCTAAGTCAGGGTTATTGCGTGATAAAGACTGACCTTTAGGTTCATCGTGGTTACAATGTTGCTACAAAAGACTGATGTGCCGTGTCCTGCCATCACCAGGTGTTGTCGCGGCCCAACGGAAAATGCATTTTGTGATATCGAGTGTAATGCTAGCTTTTGACACGAAACGTCTGTCTGGGACCAAAACTAGTTATTCAAAAGCGTGTGTGTGTGAGTGTGGAGAAACACGATAACTCGTTTCTAAGGTTTCTGAATCAAGTGATGACTTTAATTAATCTGATTTAACAATAATTATTGGAAGACATAAATGACCTCGCTTAGTGCATTTTAAAATACGTTTAATACCTTTTTTGGATTTCGCTTGACCGGATAAAGCTATCCAACCGCTTCCGCGTGGCCCTAACGGTTTTGTAGTTCTCGTTTTAAGTTATACAAAGCAGAGCCGTTTACGTAATGTCCCTTTAAACACTTGTATCTTTTGTTAATTCATGATCACTTAATTTCTTAACTACGTATATTTATCAAGTATATCGTAATACTCGATTTTTTTAAACTTTCCATATTTTTATTTCCCAATTTGACTGTTAATTTTGTATTTCCTTGATGCTATCATTTGTGAGGCTTGATTCGCATTTACTATTTAATATTTAAGTTCCAAAGCAAGACTTTTAAGTTCCGAAGCGATATGTCTCAAATGGGCGTTGTATTGTACAAAGTGATTTGCATTCTGTGTATGTATGATTGACTATACGAATGGAGCAGTATTAAATTATTTTAATTCGTGTCCGCTAATGTTGAGTGCCCATTGTTTTGTTTTATTCGCGTATTGTCTTTAGTCATCGGCAGAGCATTGTCGTGCTTCGTCTCTTAAATCATCATGCTCTCTTAGGATAGGTTTTATACTCCACTAGCCTATATCAAAGGCGAATGTATTCTATGTATCTCAGTGTCTTAATTTGCTTTAGAATTTGTTGTACTTAATTTGTAAATACGTCAAATTTTCGATGCCTATAAGCTGATATTATGAATTACATTATAGATTACATTTTATTACATCTTTTATTTGCAACCCAAATTATGATAGATCTACTCTAGTTTTTCAAATAAGGAACGAATTCAGGTCACTACAAGTGATAATTGACAGAGAAAACAAGATTCAGTTCGTAATTTTCCCACTAAAAGGTCTAAAAACTTCTAATGAGCGCTCATATAGGTACGTAATAACAAAACAAAGATAAAATTCATGTCCGTTTACTAACAGTTTGGATAAAAAAATGAAAACATCGTGTGTTCCACCTATTAAAATATACGTTTTGCCATTATTGTACTCTAAAACCATAAAATTTATTTTTTAAACACTTGTCGTAAATAAAAAATTTATTAAGCTATAATTCACATACATTTTTAAGTTTTAACGGTGTCTATCTATGTAAACTAATACGTTAAATTATTAAGGCTAATTTCAATATCAACAGATTTAATTATGTCACTCGAAGCATTGATAAGGCTTTTGTATTGGCTAAGCGTGTTGTTTACTTTTTCAGTTTAATTGATATTTCTTTTAAAATGAAAAATAACTTTGTTATGGTTTTATGTGATCAAATATGTATGGTTACTAGGTACTTAAGGTTTAATTTAAGAAATCATTTGACTGTAGACTAGGCCTTGGAAAAGACTGCGATTTCTGCATAGTTTCCAACAAAAAACAGTATGCCGTGCTCCGTTCCAACTGCGGAGTCATTGTTGTTTTATTTACAAACAGATTAAATTTGCTCTTAGTTTTAATGATCCTTTAGCTTAAGCACTTATACTATTTTAGGTGAACGATGCAGAATAGCTCGTGCTGTTGTGTACACCAGGCTGGTTCATATAGACCACGTCGGCCGTCACACTTGGCGACGCGTGGACAATGGGCGAGCAAGTGGCGCACGCGCACGGCGCATGTGAGTCACGTGGCACTTCCGTCGCCGCAGCGGAAGCAGCCGCCTCCAATAATTGTCACCCAGTATTCCTAATCCGTTAAACTTCGACGCCATTCGTTAACCTATTCAGTCGTTAAGCACCCATTAAACAACTATCGAATTGTAATCATTAAAAGAAAATAAGGTTTACTTTATTATGCGTCTAACATGTTCATAGAAAGACTGTCTAGGTTAGGTAGGTAGGTAGGTCTAGGTATTATTATTCATATTCAAGATTTTTTTACTACATAAGATATTCCGTCCTGCTAGGAACAGGGTCTGTGGACAAAAGCCTTCGTTATAAGGTAGTGGCAAAAAGCCTAGTATCTAATAAACATTGACTGCGTGGGTAAATATTGTACAAAAATAATATTACGTGTATGGCGCAGCAGTGTAAAATATTCACGGTTAAAAAAGCACGGTTTGGGCGTATAGAAAAAGTTCTAGTCTTTAACTTCGCTTCCGAAATTTCTAGAAATTCTATCGCGAAGGCGTTACACCCGCTTGGGAAGGGGAGAACAAGCGAATGCGGATAGTGTATTGTTAATTTTACCAACTACCTGCGGCCTGTGCAAATGCGCGGATAGTCGATAGTAGTAGATATACAATATGGAGTCATCCAAAAATAAAGATAACCGTCTTACTTTAATGCAACAGTTTTCCTACAATAGACAGTCGCTTAGTGAGCGTTGACATATCATATATTCATTACACTGAGGTAGATTTTTATATACAGCGTGTCGTAACAACCGCGACAATAAATGAACACACATATAGGGGATATTTTTTTTAAATTGTATTAAACATTTACATTCTTTAAACATCAATATTTACCGAGTTATTAAATTTTCCAAAACAAACAATTTTAGAACACCTTACGTATAAAACTGTAACGTAAAGCTCATTTGTAAAGGTCACAAAGCATATGAATGGGTTGAATGAATTTAAAAGAGATAAAACATACTGTTAGAAGGAGAGATTTGTAATGCGACGCTGTGGCGACAAATGAAAAAGTCTCTGAATGTATGAATGAGTCAGTTGTAGTTGTATAGGATGTTTCAAATTTTGTTTCTTTTTTGAAAAATATTTTTTTTTCAATTATGGTTTTTTTTAACATTTATATTTTTTTACGATTATTGGCAAGTAGCGTTACACGTGTGTTCATTTATTGTCGCGGCTGTAACGACACGCTGTTATATTGAGAGGCCAAGATTAATATTCATTTCTTTAAATTTCTCTCTCAGAGATACATTCATGTCTAGACTATAAATTGCTCTTACGGCGCTTTTTTTTGCAAAATAAAAATTGTTTGATGGATGCAGGTGGCTGAGGATCGTGCATCGTAACAGTATGAGGGAGGCCTATGTTCAACAATGGACTCAAACACGCTAAAATGATGATGATAGGTGTCAAATATCGACCTATTAAATACATTGCAACCACTGATAAATGTCAATACCGCCCAATAGTAATCACTTTTTGCTACATTCAAGCTCAAAAAAAATAATAGAAAATCATCCTCCATGACATTACCTATTTTATTCATTAATTTTTTTAAGACCGAACTTAACGTAACGATTTCTAGAAACATCAAAATGAAGTAATGACTTGACGATATAGAAGAAAGTTTTAATCCAACCATGTGGTTACTTCGTTATCATTACTGAATTGATTAAGTTACCTGATTGATGTATACTGAAAGCGTATTGCTTTACAGACCAGACTAACAAGTTTATATGCTATGTATCGGTTTGGAAATGGAGTGATATTAAGATAAAATTATACGACTAGTATGTTGTTGGTCCGGTATTGGCTTCATTCTAAGTCTGTATGTGTGTGTAGAGCGTTAGTTACAACAAAGACCCTAACTCTCTTATACAGGCTGTCCAGTAAATAGCACAACATACTGCAGGGGGTGAGAGCTTGGGTAAATACTACCAATACCTACCAATTAAATACAATATATGTTCAGCACAATCTTACGGATTTACAGTAGTACAGTTCCGAAATATCGAAAAATCTCTACCTTGACACAGATTTTTAAGCATCTCGTAATGTAAAATTCCTTTTGTAGTTTTTTTTACCTCAAATTATTCACTACCATTATTTACCCAAACTATAACCCACTGCAGTATGTCGTGCTATTTACTGGACACTCTGTATAATGACGATAAAATGATGTTTTCAAATATAAAATAAATATAAAATAAATAAATGACATAAAAACATGCAAAAATTGCAAGAAGAAACAGAAAATAACAGTAACAGGTATTTCAAGATTAATAACAGGTGCTAATAATAATTAATTTGATTTAACAATCTTTTTTCAAGACTTACAATTCTGGTAATCCAATCTCTACAGCACCTTATCGTATTTAAAGAGCACGTATTAGCGGTTTCTGCGTCACTAAATTTCCGTACGATAAATCTCACCTCCTTCATAATTAACAATGCATGCTTAAGCAATTTGTCCAAATACTTAGTGTGAATTTTGACACAGTTTCAAAATTGTGAAATCATATCCTTTGTTCTTAGTAATTTGGCGGTCGCAGAGAAGTTTAAACGTCTTCGCTTATGAAAGAAACTTACCGTTTTAGTTGCTCAATATCTCTTTGCATATTAAAGGACAACTAGAGACTACGCCGGTCCTTTCTCAGTTCATGGACGTTATTAAGAGTTAGATTTGGAGTCATATATTGATTCTATGACTTTTATTTTATACCTAACAATGTACGATGACCGAATTGAGGCTTTCTCGAATACAAATAAGCCGTCAGTAAATTATTAATATACTAGCGACCCGCCCGGCTTCGCACGGGCGCAATGTATTATACATATAGAAGATATACTTCCACTTGAATCACTCTTTCTAGTAAAAAAACTCGCATCAAGATCCGTTGCGTAGTTTTAAAGATCTAAGGATAGACAGACAGCGAGAAACTTTGTTTTATACTATGTAGTGATTTACCTACTAATATGCGCGTCATTTAAGTGTCCAAACACTAGGAAGTAGAACACGTGTAGGAAAAGGAACATAATTTAAATTTGTGGATCTGTACGAGGACGGGAGCTGCAGTCTATACTAACACATGTAAGAGATAAAATTGGGTTTTGCCATTATATTGGTTATGCAATGGGTAATTTCTAGAATAGAACTCTCTTTAAAAAAATGTTTTTGCGCGCTAAAGTATTAAATGAAAAATATGGGCGTAATTAATCAAAATGAAGAATTCATTAAATTAGAAATATCAATAAGATTTAAATCCGAAAAAAAAAATCTTCATGATTTGACAGCTGGATGGCCTTTGGGATTTTCATTAATATAGCGCTAATTACTTAATCAGTAAGACACTGGTTAATTTAAAGATATAAGACAACACTTAATTGCCCATACATATGACATTGCACATGACATAGGGCCCTTAGATAATCATGTTGTGCAATAAATCTTCAATAACCAGCATAATACTTGATACCTGTATTTTTTTCGCGAGATAAACACCATCCCTATTTTTATTGTAATAACTATACTTTTTATCTTATCGTGTTATCTAAAATGATAGTCGTATTCGATAAAACCTGCTATTGATTTTCCCACACACGTTGATATCATTTCTGGGATACGATATTAGAACTCGCTACAATATACATTTTGGTATCCAGTTAATGTAAGTCTGATTGTACCAGACATTACTGATTTCTGTCTTTGTTCATTGAATGTTGGGCATAGGTAAAAAAGGTGCCCAACGCACGCTATTTAGCTCGATCTTCGGCTACCATCCACTTGCTACCCCCCACTTAATTTGGCTGGGGACGATGTTGCTCCATCCATCTTACCCTGCATTTACGTAGACGAGGGATTTAAGAACATCGGTGTAAACTTCTAGGCGACATTCTGGTGTCAGCCCATCAGCGCTTTAGGCAGTAACGTGTATAAGTAAATAAACGTTTATTTAAAAAGGAATAATGAACAAGAAATCCAAAACATATGGTTGCGGTAAGTTGGTGGTCGAATCGTGATACATATGTTGCTGCATTATAACACCACACCGCAAATACGGTCGTTTTACAGTAAGCACAATAACTGAACTAGTAAGCAAATAAAGGAATTAAGGAATTTTTGTTCTTTGTTGCTACATGATTTAGTGTTGTCATCGTGCCAATCAATATCCTACCAATTAAGGTAAAACGGCAAGTGTATGTATATGCAAGTGGAAAGTAGATGACTGGATATCGGCAGACATATAAATATAAAATTAAAAAAAAAAAAACATTTAACAGCTAATTATGGTGTTCGTGAAATAATACTACCATAAACTTATCGTTCAATAAAGCAAAATTGTTTACTATAGGGACATGCGTGTTTTTTATGTACATATATTTTTAAACGATAGAAAAACATAAACAAAATTTACGAGATAAATAAGCGCTGACATTTACATTTTCAGAAAAAAAAATAAGCTAATAGTATGGTTAAGTTAATAGACATAGTAAATGGTGTCCAATACGTATTTACACTTAGTAGGTATACAAAACTGTGTATTTTGTAAGGAAATAATTTTGCAAGTTCAATGCGTTAACGCGACATAAGCTTAGATATACCTTAACTATCTTGACTAAAGTATTAGAATTGTTTTATCATATTTGTATTTGAATGTAAAAATGAATTGTCTAAAAATTTTGACTTAATTAAAAATTCTATAATTTACGCTGTAGTCTATGAAGTACAAATATCTTTTAAATTTAAGGGTATCGTATATTGCAAATGATAAACCACAGGGAATATTTTAAACATTCTTTTGCCATTAGTCAACTGTATCGCACTCTGCATACGTAGATTATTCTACAAACCGGTAAAAGATAACACAATCGTTGTTAGTTACCCACATACGATAAAGATTGACAGGTGACAGGTAAAGTAATCAAAACTCACCAAGTACGAAAGATACAAATAAAGGGAACTCTATGACAATAACTAACAA